TTCAATTTTTTGTTACGATATCTTTTTTTGCATTAAGTTTTGAAATTTTTATTCATATATTAATTTCTCTAGCTCTGCAGTAATCTTTTGTTATGAAGTATTACCCCTTCATGGTTATCTTGTTCACTTTACATAACAAAATTACAATTATATTATGTACGAAAAAGTGGATCAACATCCATCAAGGACACTTTGAACGTTTTTATCCTCTATATGTATTAATAAAATGATTTTTTAGTATTTGTTTACATTCTGTATTTTTGTTTTTTATCAAATCTTTCACTTTCTATTTGTAATTACTTTGTTTTATTTACTTTTCATTTCATTCAAAAAAATTTAAAAAGGCGAGTAAAAGTATGCCAAAATTTAACTATTTTAATTAACTTTCAGTACGAAATCAGTGCATAATAGTATTTGTTGCCCAACACAAATGTAAGATATATCAGCGCTAGCGAGAAAAATATACATGTTTCAAACTGTGGTTTAAATTTTACAAAAGATAACATTTTGTTAAACATTGAACAATCTTTAGCGGTATTTTTAATTTTAATGATTATTTGTTTAGGTTCCAGCAATTCCTACGGTAATAGTACTATTTTTACAAAATATGAATTTTAAACTTCATTTTCTATCTTTGATTTTGCCACTGTTCCATCAATGAGTAGTTGTTGTACTTGTTGTCCAACAGAAAATGTAAGATATATCAGCGCTAGCGAGAAGAAATACATATTGCAAACGGTGGAATGATTTAAATTCTACAAGATGACATTTGTGTTAAACATTAAAGAATCTCTTCATACTGATGCTTGACGAAAAGCTGTTATGAAAGCTAAAGTTTTGGAATAAATTCTTTTCAAAAAAGTAGTAAAGCTTCAAGTACTTCATGAAACCTGTTAGAATTTGGCGTTCTAAAAAATCAAAAGAGTGATAAAGACAGGAACTGCATTTACGGACGTAAAGTGGAACTGAAAAGGGCAAAAATTTGGTACTAATAAGTAGTACCAAATGTCAAAAGTCAACAGAGCTAGAAATGTTACCACAAAAAGTCACAATAAATTGAAAGTAGATGGTAATATTCATCTGTCTTATTTTCTTCACCAAT